GGGAAGACCACTCAGTGTGGTCTCCACCACAGACATTCACCTCCCCCCAACTCTCTTTGGCTCCATGTCAGATTCTTTGAAGACTTTTTGAGGATGTGGCTTATCTGAACATTTTCAAATGCCAGTAATCCCACTGGGTGTAAATCACCTGAGGTATAGGTTGAGCCCATGAAATGTGTGTTATGGTTACAAAGAAATTCACTGGTGTCTGCCCCATGGACATCCTCATAGGCAGGCAGCAGTCACAGGGCAAGAAGATAAAAATGGGCTGAAGTGGAGAAGCAGAAGAAGGCTTCAGGTGAAGGATCATCCCATCACACGTTTCCTCTCTGTACTGTGAAAATCAATACATTTACAACAGAGTGGTTTAGTTCAGTGCAGTGGTTGATGGAGCTGACTTTTCTAGCTACAGTTCTGATTTCCAGCACATTTTACCCATCTGGATCTTTTCAGTGACTAATTTGGATCCTCTCTGAACTCTTGCATTCAGAAACTCAACTTTTCGTGAAGGGAGTCTTTCAGAATTCATCAGTAAAAATAATAATTCATTTTAAATATGATTTCTGTAATGTAACTCATACAACTTATTAGCTAATATAACTATATAGCTAATTAAAATCATCGCAATATTCCACATTCAGCTCTTGTTTCCAGAGCCTTCTGTCCATGAGGAATTGCTCTTAGCAGCATCCTCTGCTGTGCTTTGTCCAGTCTCAGTCTGTACAGCAGAACTGGTCCCATTGGGACAGCAGGCCATTGCCTCATAGGTGCCACCTTCAAGTTCTTCTCGACAGCTCAGCTAAATTTAGGTTTCACATTTCATCTCTGGGCTGTACCATTTGCAAACACTAGCACATTATAAAATGCAGGGGGGGGAATCTGCTTTATTTGCTGCTTCTGGTCTCAGGCATGCTGTGATTTTCTCTCTGCACCCTGGAACGTTTTGGCTCCTTGCTAAGTCAAACCTTCCCTTGCCAGTTCTGCACGCAGACCAACCTTCAGGGCTGTTTTCCTGTGTGTCCATAGGTTGAAGAGGCAGAAGCTCGACGCCTTTTCCAGCAGATTCTCTCTGCAGTGGATTACTGCCACAGACACATGGTTGTCCACCGAGACCTGAAACCAGAGAACGTGCTGCTGGACGCACACATGAATGCAAAGATAGCTGATTTTGGTATGTGACCCCAGCAGCATTCCAGAAACGCAGCCAGCTCCGGCAGCGCTTGCTGGAGCGTGTCCGTGTTAGCATGCCTTACAAAACCCAGAGCCTGCTGCCCTAACCACTACCAGTTGCTCTACCTGTAAAGCCCACAGTTATAAACACTGGCCTTTTTGCAAGGGCAGGGATTACTTATTGTAGGCTGCTTCTGTACTGGCACTGAGAATGGAGCAGCGAAGTAATTTGTAAATCTTTGCTATGTTTTAGTATAATCACCGAACGTAAAGATTTAGCTAATTTATAAGACAGACTCAGTGCAGTTAATTCAGGATGAGCTGGCTGCAAGTGTTTATTTTCATGCATGTTCTCTGTACATTTGGCCGTGTGCTCTCGGCCTTGCTTTACAACAAGCAGTAACAGGAGACTTTAAGTGGCATTACCAACTGAAATCCATCAAAACACCCAGGCCATCAACTCTGTCCTGGTGAAGCCTTTTTAGCAGTGATAAATCCTTCTAAAGATTTACTCAACCCCACCCAATTCCCATATAAAGTGAGTGCTCTGGGATGAATCATGTCTTTTTCTCCTCTGTGCTCCGGGACTTGCGACTCAGACAAGCAAAATTAGCCTGGGGTGAATATTCCTGGTCTGAATCTGGAAAAAACCAAGAATGATAGTAATGACAATAATGATAATAATTATTATAATAATAGTAATATGCAAATCAGCTTGAAGGAGTCTATCTAAATTATGTAAACAGTTCCCCTCCAAATTTCCCCCTCCACTTGCTGTACCTCTCCTCCTCTTTGCAACTCAGAGTCCTCTGTGGCTGGACCTTCAGGTTAAACATCAGTGTGTAATAAACATCTTGTTTTTAGGATTATCCAACATGATGTCAGATGGCGAATTTCTACGCACTAGCTGTGGTTCCCCAAATTATGCAGCCCCTGAAGTAATCTCTGGAAGGTAGGACATTCTGCTTCTAACCAGAGCCTATGTGAGCACATGGACTTTAAATTTGTTCTTGGCATTGGAAACAGCTTTGCACATCTAGTTAAAGCAGCTGAATCCTTCCAACCTGTGCTTTATGTTTGGGTGAATCTACAGGCAAAGATCAGCAAGTTTCCTTCGTTATTTTATTTCTCAATAGCTGTAATAGCAAACCATATTTTGCTGAAGGTGTTTACTTTGGAGGAATTATTAATACCAGATGTTGACTGTTTATATTGCTAATTAAAGAGGGTGAAAATTTCTCTTTGGATGCCAGGTGGAAAGGCTTTTCCAGGCTACCCCCTTCTCTCCTGCCCACCTGTAATATAAACAGTGTTAATGAGGAAAACCATTTACTAACCAAAGAATAAGGAAGATCTTTAATCACTTTCTAACACTGTTGAACTCTTACACTGAAAATACTTGTATTCTGGTTCCTTAAGCTAGAGGTTTTGGCCATAGCAGTAGGTTCAGCCATTGGAGCGTTGTTTTGAACTGATGAATTGAATTGACAAATCTCCAGTGTGGTTGCATCTGTCAGCATGCAACATCTGTACAGCACATGGAGTGTTGAACACACTCTGCAAGGTTGAATTGGACTTTAATAGCAGTGGTACCTCCTATATTTTACTGTCAGGAACAGAAGTGACATAGAATGTACATATTTCCCTGATTCTCTCTGTAATAGCATAGCAAGGATTGCAAATACAGATTTTCAAATTTTCAGTCCTCTGTATATCGTCCTTCAGACTGCCTATCTCATCATCTGCCCCATTTTTTGGAATCTCCCTTTTCATGAGCATTATTTTTCCAGCATATTTTTGCCTAAAACTGTAGCTTTTAAATGCAACATTTTGTTCAGAGTGTGTTAGCTGTGATTATGATTATTTATCCCTGTTTGCGCCAGTGCAAGTGTTGGCAGAGTATTCTGGGAATTAGACTAGCATCCAAAAACCCTGTTATGTCTACAGCTTTACGTATAAAATCAAGTAAATCCTCATTGTCAAGAAGGGGACAAAGCCAGAAACTCTACTGGGATTCCAAAAATATATTAATATTGTTTCCACATTCTTTTCAGCCAAGGCCAGGTACTCATTTTTCAGCTTGTATAGGAGACAAGGCACAGGGTAGATTAGTGTGCAGAGCCAGATCATTCCAAGGGCACAGGCAATACAGCTTAATAACAACAGAAGTAAGAAAGAAAAACAAAACCAAGCCTACGTATTGCATTTTTTCACCGCCTACAACTACATCCCTCCTGCATTGGTCCTACCTACAGTGGGATCAGTATCAGGGATGCCTGAGTTTCATACTCCTGGTTGGTAGGCCAAGCTGCCCTCTTCTCAGAGGTATAGCAACATGCAAGAGCTGCATTTGTGGGGGAAAGGCACAATCCGCTGTTCCAGCCTTGGTGCTGAGTGTGCAGGGCAGGGAGGAGCTGGCTCCTGGCTCCTGCTGCCTTTCCTGGTAGAGCACAAAAACAGCAGAGCGTGACAGCTCAGGTTTCAGAGTCATAAAACCACATCTCATTTGGGTTTAAAAGTCCAGTCGACTGTTCAGGCAATGCAGTTATCAGGAAAAGAATCTGGCTTCCTATCTATTGAAATTGGGCATGGAGGCATGACCCAGGGGGGCATCTAGTTAATTGTCTGTATTTCCAAAGTGACTTTGCTGCTGTCCCTGGCCTCAGCAGGGGAAGTCTCACCCTTAGGCAAGCAGACCTGGTGTTTTGGAGGTATTCAGAGAATGGCCATGTGCATCACCAGTATGTTTTCTACACTGGTGTGTCTGCCATGCTTTTCAGGAGGAACAAGCACAGAATGCTGAGGTTTTACGAAGCAACTGCTATATTTCCCTTTCAGCCTCTGTATTTCGGTAGGGTTTCACAGCCCGAGGGGAAGTGCTGCCTCCTAAAAATCTCTGAGGAGGTGCCAGTTATATCAAAAAGAGATAAGCAAATCGAGCCGAGCAAGCAGCAGCAAAACTGTATCTTTGGGGTGTCCCAACTTGGTGATGTCAGGGAGCACATTAGCAGCTTGTTGGAAGTGGGAGTGCTTGCATACCAGCACACAAACTTCCACCAAAAATAAACAGTCAGAGATAGAGTATCGGCTGCTGTTTGATCTGCCTCACTGAATGAACAGAAATTTCTGGCTAAGACCTTGGGGCAAAGGAGCAAACAGCCTGAAAGAGTTCTTGGAAATGTGGGGTTTGGCTTTTTGGAGAGCAGAGGTATACATGGCTGTCCAGAGGAGTGTGGGCAGCCAGTGCCAGATCTGCCATGTCATTTCCCTGAGGAATTTTGGCTTAGGCAGGTTTGGTTGGAGGGAACCACAACAGCAGCCCCAGGGTGGGCTGCAGCTCTGTCCCCAGTGGGGCTGCAAGCTCACCCACTGGGATCTGCACTTTAACTGAGGAAAGGATGAGGGGTGACACATTTCTCCTGCCCTTGCCCTCGTGCAGACTGTATGCTGGCCCAGAGGTGGACATCTGGAGCTGTGGAGTTATCCTCTATGCCCTTCTCTGTGGCACTCTGCCTTTTGACGACGAGCACGTCCCCACTCTCTTCAAGAAGATCCGGGGAGGTGTGTTTTACATCCCTGAATACCTCAACCGCTCTGTTGCCACTCTCCTCATGCACATGCTGCAGGTTGACCCTCTCAAACGAGCAACCATCAAGGACATCAGGTCAGCTCAGCTGGGCTGGGGTGGACTGGCTGCGTTTGGGGGGCTCTGGTGTACTGGTGGCAGAGGATGGTGACTATCTGGGGGGTCACCTGCTGGCAGATGGGCAGGGTGGTTTATAGGAGTAGTCAGCTAATCCAGATGATTTTTGTCCCAAGCAATTCAAGGAGCAGCCTGCACTCTTCTAATGCTGATGGAGAGGTACATGCTGCTGGCTCGAAATGGGTGATGATGAACTGGCTGGTGATTTTATATATATTTAATATACATATATATAAAATTCTATTTTATTGCCTTATAAAAGAGCCTCAAAAATCTCTTAGCAGCACTTAGAAGAACCAGCTATAGCATGCAATAATCCTAAGAACTTAATATCCATCAGCCATTTTTCATCACTTTAGTTCAAGACCACCCCCCTGTGGGTACCAGTTCAGAATAAGATGGTAATTAATTGTACTTGTTGTCCAGTAAAAAAAGGAGAAACCCAAGAATTACTAACTTAATCCATAAATATTGGCTATAGTTTGAAATGTAAGCAAATGGTTCATCTTTAAATGCAGCCTAGTTTTCTTGTCTAGTCCATGAGCACAGTGACCATGAACCTTTTATCTTCGTGCATCACTGTGGAAATTCCAGGTAAAGGGAACAATTGGGCTCTTAAGCAGATATTTTTGTTTGCAGAGATCATTGAGAGTTCATGGCTGCTAGTGGGACTTCAAAATTCTCACAGCCTAAGCCGTTTTAGAAACATTTTGTAAAACTAGAGCCTGATACACATTTTATGATATTTATAGTAATCATCACACCTAGCTGATGTGCTAAGCATATACATAAATGTTACTGAGACTTTCAGTTCTCAGGTTTTTAATGCATTTTCAATTGATGGCCTTAATTTTACCCTTCAAGTAAAACTGTGTGAACTCCCTTTTTCTTATTTCTTCATTCCTTAAGACTGGAGGATTGAATTACATGCTAGAGCAGCAGCACATGTGGCGAGATTACAGTCAATACATAGAACCTGTAGAAATGACACTCCATGGCTTTTAGACGCTTACTTGTCATTGACTTCATCGCAAATCAATGGGAATCAAGTACCTGGATAGCTTTAATGCTCTCTATCTCTGTCAGACCCATAGGAATCACAAAGCATGAGCATTTTCTTCTTAGTCTTACTTCAAAGCCCAGTGAGTAGAGCAGGGCAGAATGTCATCACTGTTGCAATATTGGGGGGACTGTGGAGGGCTGGGTTGAGTTCCCCAGTTGGCAGCTGAGGATTAGTCTTGTCTGGACCAAGCAAAGGACTGGTGGCAGTGGTTGCCTATCCTGTCTCACACAGAGCTCACAGTGGCTCCTCTCTGCATTCCTCAGGGAACACGAGTGGTTTAAGGAAGAGCTGCCCAGTTACCTGTTCCCAGAGGACCCTTCTTACGATGCCACCGTTATCGACGATGACGCAGTTCGGGAAGTCTGTGAGAAGTTTGAGTGCACAGAGTCGGAGGTGATGAACAGCCTGTACAGTGGAGACCCTCAGGACCAGCTGGCAGTGGCTTACCACCTCGTCATCGACAACCGGAGGATCATGAACCAAGCCAGCGAGTTCTACCTCGCCTCCAGCCCTCCCACTGGCTCCTTCATGGATGACAGCACCATGCACGTCCCTCCTGGGGTGAAGCCGCACCCCGAGCGGATGCCGCCATTGATAGCAGACAGCCCCAAAGCTCGGTGTCCTTTGGATGCCCTCAACACCACGAAGCCAAAACCCTTGACTGTCAAAAAGGCCAAGTGGCACCTGGGAATCCGCAGCCAGAGCAAACCATATGACATCATGGCCGAGGTGTACCGGGCTATGAAACAGCTGGACTTCGAGTGGAAGGTAGGGAGTGCTGGTGCTCCGTGGTGTTTTTGAGTGTCATTTTCTCATGAGCTGAATTGCTCGGGGAGGTTTTCAAGTATGGTTACAGCCTCACCTGTTTCCAAATACATGCCCACACTTTGTGATATTCCCTACTTCTCATGGTATTCCCTTGTGATATTCCCTATTCTTGTTAATACAAATGTGCTGAATTAAGATGCCAGCTGTGCTTCAACCTCCGTGGTGTTTATTTATGGCGTGAAGTAAGTTTTCTTTCTGAGTGTTCTAAGCCTTTGGCTGGAAAGATGATTCTGCCTCATTTAGCTGCGGGGATAAGAGGAGCTGTTCACATTTCTAATTTTAGTGGCTAATTCCTTGCAAGGTCATCTTGAGTGCTGAGGAAAGGAACTCTCATTATTTCTGCCTGGTCCTGTCAGTCGTGTGTGCTGAAATGGCACAGTATGCATCTTCCTTAAAGATGCACAGATGAGGGGCAAGGGGCCTTGGAGGCAGGATTTGTATCATTGATGTGGTGGCCTTTTCCTTGATGGAGATGGAGCACTGCTTGTGGACCAGATGTGCTTTCAGACACTTACTGCTTCCGCGGTTTAGGGCTCAGCTTCTTGATTTAAACCCAGATGTTTTAGTTGACAGTACTCACTGCAGATATTTCTCCAGAGCTACCAATATTTAGTCACAGCCTTTTTGGAAGTGGGAATAATAAATCCCTAAATTAGCCCTGAATATCTGCTGCTGAGCCTGATTCTCTAAATCTTGCTGCAGTCCCTGAGGTGAACTCTCCTGACTCGTGGCCTTTTGCAGCAGCCTCATGTGAGCATTGGGAGCAAGGTAAAGAGAATTTCAGCCCAGATTTTCATCACCAGAGGAGTTATTCTCCTCACTCCGGGTCTCAAGCATTTTTGTACAATGTTAATGTCACTGTGCTGCTTCCTCAAAGCCTTCCATCTTATTTTTTATAATATTATGTCTTTAAAGCCAAGTAGCTCCCAGAAACCAGACTTCACTGCACCAGCCAGGAGATGGACTGTCACCAGGTGCCTATACCTACACCAGCCAAACATTTGTTAGCTGGTTTTACAGAGACCAAACAAACCTGCTGTATTTCTGGTAGACCTTCACAAACCAAGTCAGCCCAACGTCTTCAGATAGGCAGTGGAGCTTATTTTATATGAGGAGCTTTCACAATCGTCTTTCCCATCCTAAGAATAACTGCAGATGTGACTCTTCATCGGAATAGCTTTCCCATCCACGCAGTTCCTTCATAAATATAGTGCAGAGAAAAGAACCCATTGTAAATGAGATGCAGCAGATTGTGAGGTGGGAAGCAGCAAGGGAAAATACACAGCTCGAGGCTGATGCATGAAGACTGGATTTAGCTGCACCGATGGGAGAGGTTGCTCTGCACACCTTGTCCTGGTTTCATGGGCACTGCCCTTGTATGCAGGTCCAGGAGTGGAGTTTTTGGCTCATACGGCCACGGCTGCTGGCTAGAGAGGAGCAGATGTCAGTTTGGGGCCTGGCAGATGGGTCATGGCAGCTTTCTCAAACAGCGGCTGGTGAATCAGAGCCCTAAGAATCATTTTTTAAAGATAGGAGGAAGTAGGAGATGAAGTTATATGCTTCACTTTATAGCCATTGTTCTTTCTAGAAACAGCGTTTTTCCCAGAAGATGTCTTGTTTGTGTTTAGAAAAAAGTAAGAAAAGAAATACACTTCTTGCTACCTTGAATCTTACTCCTGAAAGCAGGTTTCCCATTGCAGGTGGTGAATGCCTACCACCTCAGGGTGCGCCACAAGAACCCGGTGACAGGCAATTATGTCAAGATGAGCCTGCAGCTCTACCAAGTGGACAACCGCAGCTATCTCTTGGACTTCAAAAGCATTGATGGTAAGCAGGAAATGGTGCAACAGGAGATGTAAAAGACATAAAATAGCAAGGCTGGAAGCTTAAAAATCATTCTCTGCATTTTGAAGGGCTTATGCAGCTGTTTCAAGTCTGTGAAAGCCCTTTTGATCCGTTTGTCTCCACCACTGCTACTAGTTCCTTACCAAACCTGCATTGCAGATGCCAAACTAATGCCACTTTTTCTTTATTCTTTTCAAGATGAGGCGATGGAGCAGAGGTCTGGCTCATCCACACCACAGCGCTCCTGCTCCACCGCTGGCTTGCACCGGCCAAGGCTGAGCATCGATGGTGCCGCGGCCGCTGAGTGCCAATCCCTGATGGGCTCTCTGAGTGGCTCCTTTGTTGGCAGCATCCCCTCAGGGGCAGCCACACCATGGACTTCTTTGAGATGTGTGCCAGCCTGATCATGGCCCTGGCTCGCTGATGGGTGCCACCAAGGCACTGGTCCTTCCACACACGGTATTGCACTGTGAGGATCTGGTCTGACTTGTCCGTTCCTTGTTTCTTCTGCTTCATTGTTCCTCTTCCTCCACCCCTCACCACTCCACAGTCCATGGCACAGAGCCAATTCCAGACCCAAAACACACTCCCCTCTAAGAAGGCACAGAGGAAATTAAGAAAACTTCATTTCACTGGTTATGCCACAGTGAAATGTATCCAATACCCATTTTTACCTAGTGAAGCCAATGGGAAATGTTGGCATGGCTGTAAAGTAGCAAATGTATCACTGTTTTTTTTAAATCGCCTTCCCCTGGTTCATTCTGAGTTAATGGAGCCATGGCCAAGCTTCCTGTGATGTCAGCAGTGTGCAGAGAGGTTGATGTTTCCCTTCTGCTGTGCAGACCAGGAGGGGCAGGATGGGCTGAGCCAGGTCAGAGAGGTCGACCAGGAGCTACATGAAATGGAACAAAGGGTTAATGAAGTAGCTCTGTGGTGTTCACCTCTGGTAACACTTTTTTCCCAAAACAAGCAGCTGATAGATGCTTCTGCACTAGTGCCATCCCTCCCCTCTTTTCTTCCCTCCCTGCTAAAGATGGGGAGGGAAGGTGGGATGTGCAAAGGTCCTGCTGGGGAAGTCTCCATGTGTCAAGTCTTTGCAGAGGAGTGTCCCTAAGGTTCTTTATTTCCTCATGAGAGCTCCGGACAGTACTGACCTGCTCACCACATTCAGAGCTGAAGGCTGCTTGCCTTTTTTCCAGCCTGTATCATCACCTCCCTCCAAGCTTCTCACCCTCCCCTGCTATACCACTGGCTCCAGGGGCTGAATCCCAGCAGGTTTCAGGTGAGCCAGCAGCGGAGGACAGGATGCTGACTGCCCCCCCGAGAACACAGCGCTTTGCCCATGGGTGGGAATCACCACTGCCAGGCAAGAGCCAGCAGCATTGCACAGGATTTACCTCTCACCTTTCCTGTAGGAAGCCTTTGCCTGTTGTCACCACCCTGAAATCGCTGCCAAATCTGCCTTCTGTTCCTTCCCTGCTCACCACTTCGCGCTGCCGGAGAATCGCTTTTCACGCTGGAGGGCTCTCCCGTCCCACTGCTGCCCGGACCGCAACCTTCACCACTCCACTGGCAAGGCAGGGATATCCAAATCCAGAGTTTTACTGTTTCTTTACTACTGGCTATCTGAAGGATAGGTTTTTATTTTTTAAGACAAACTATGGGGATTTATAAGGTTAAATTCTTGTTTTTCTAGGGTAAACCCTAATGCATGTTTCTTTGTTTAAAAGAATTCTGATTTTTTATTGCACAGGTTTAATCTAATGGGCAGCGCTGGCATCTGCTTGGCTTTGCCATGGTATTTAATTCCATTTACTTGATTGCAAAGTAATAGTCTATAATCAGTCAAGGAACAAATGCTTTATGAAAACTTTGCCAAAAAAATCCTGGGTGGAGGGTTTGTTTTTGGTGGGTTTGTTTTTTTGTGTGTTCTGTTTTGAGAAACCAAGCAAAGGAGAACTTTTGCTGGTTCCAGGTATGTGGTCATTCAACTTGAAAAAAGAATCCATCTTTTTGATAGCTTCTTATGACCCATCGAGGTTTTTTGCTACCTTTTTTTGTACAGTTGCACTTTAATTTATACTTTCTGTAAGTTTCTATGAGAAGCAAAGAAGAGAACAACACATTAAGCCTTTTTTACTATCATTTTAGGTAATCAAGACAAATACGGGATATTTTTGCCATCTACTGGCAGTTAAATGGACATTTTCAGCTTGAAGTCCCTCTTTTTTTTTTTTTTAAGAAACACAAAATTGCCTTACTTTTGTTACAGATTATGCTTGGATTCTCAGTAACGTGACTTTACAGCTCCAATCTTTCCAGAAGCCGCACAAAGTAGAAAGATTCCAAAAGAAAAAATAATCAGTTTTGCTGTTAACCTCTCAAACACTAAATTCAACACAGCAGTGGTTGGATTGTAAACCCACAGCAGAACAGTTTTGTTTTTAAAAGAAATACTGGAAATATTTGTAGTACTCCTAGGTTTTGTAATGAGCCTTTTATTATATTATCATCATTAAATAAATATCTGGGGTGGGGGATGGCGTTGGTGCTGAGCCTGGAGGCTGTCAGATGATGTGTCTCCAGTGCTGTGGTGTGAGCTGAGGATGGAGAATCCAGACTCCTGCATGCAGAAGAAAGCCCCACCCCAGAACCAAAGCTGAGCAGCAACCAGCTCTTTAGCAGCTTTTGAATCAATGCTGAGACACAAGCAAACAGCCCTAAATGCGTTTGGGTGCTGGAGATCAGCCCCTTTGGAAAGGAGCAGGAGAGGGTGGCAGAGCAGCCATAGGGACAGACATTAATTTCCATCCAGGAAACAGCTGAGTGAAATGTGTGTGAAATATAAAAGTTTTTTTTAAATCTTCACTCCCAACTGAGCATCTTGCCCAGTTGCTTGTCCTGGAAACGCCTGTAGCCACCCTGATATGGGGCTGATGTGTTAGAATCTGGGGTTCAGAAGCAGGTAGATGTACAGATGTCTTTTCTTAAATTTGACTCTTGTCCTCTGGGATTTCCTACCTGGCAGAACTAATAGTATTAAACAGCAGCAAATGCCCTTGGGAGGAAATATTTGCTTCCTGAAGGTGGGTGGGATTTCGAGGTAGTAGAATAAGCCCTTGTGGCACTTCGCATCTTCTCAGACCCATGCAAACATTAACTACTATGTGGATCTGCAAAACCAGTCCTGCCTGGAAGGCAGTAGGAGTTGCTCAGTTTTCCATATGGAGAGACACAAAGAAATGAAGCAACTTTCCTGCTCAGTGTCAGCAGAGGCAGTGAAGCAAGTAGGACTGTTGGAAGCACCTCCTCAATGAACACATGGGATTGAACTGTCCTTTACAGCCTTACCCAAATCCGTGCTGCACTTTGTAATACTCTGAGAACTTTCACTTCTTTTGTTATTTATTTTACCTTCAAGTAGGGTGTCTTCTGTTTCCCAGCTGCAGAGAAGCTGCTGACCTCCAGTTACATTTTCCAGAGGAAAAGTTTAACTTTTACACTGTTACACTGTGGTCAGCTCTTTTGAGTTATGCTGGTACATGCACAAGCATCGGGAAAAGCAGGGTAGACGTTATTTGAACTACAGAAACTTGAATTACTCCAAGTGCAATTCTTCAGAAGTCACTGGACAGCTGTGCTTTGCAAGCCACAAACTCACCCAAACTTTGCTTCAGCCCAAGAGGGAGAGAGACAAAATGCAAAGGATATAGAGTTCAGATAGGCTCCAGCAGTAACCTCCAGTTCCTGGATGAGTTAATTCAGAAATAGCTTATACTGTTCTTGTTGGCAAATATATATATATGTATATATTACATAGGCGTACATATATAT